GAGGCACCAAATATGATTGCCAAAACTGAATATTATGAATATATATGTATATATGCATATATATATGCTCCATTCTTTGTTACTCTATAAAGAACTATTTTTAGAATTTTTCTTTTTCTTTTCTGAAAGCAATTTGGCATTTCATTTGGCATATTAAATATCTGTGGGGATTTTCTGTCATGCTTGAGTTCAAATACATCATCTTTTCATTCAATAGTACAAAAATATACTGACATATGTAGAATTAAGGATATAAACATTTGTTTATAGTGGTATATTTTCATAAATATTACATTAAAAATATATTCACCCAAGATAGGATACTGATGAAATAAAGGAAATAATTTCACCAATGTCTAGTTTCTCATTCTAATAAATGTATCGTAGTTGTTTGCAGGAGCTTATGTGAAGAATCACTTATAGGAACACATGTGATTGGTTATCTAGAGGAGCATGAGTGATCCATGATGACTACATCACCAAAAACTCACTGATGCAAGTTTTTGCAATGAGCCTATGACCACTGTCATTTTTGCTACTTCCTGAATCTCTTTTAATTTAGAAATTGTATTTATTAATGAATTAATTAATTTTTCCTTTTGAAATTCCTATTTATCACAGACACAAACACATAAAAACACATCAAAGTAAATGGTGGAAACCATTTATATTGCTTAATACATAACAGATATTTCTTTTCAGTCTCAAGTGTCTTGTCATGTCTGAGAAATACAGGATATATAAAGTAAAAATGTAATTTATTTACTCAATAATTTTAATTTTAGTTTTTAAGAACTGGAATTGGAAATCAAGAATTTTCACAATTGTCTCTTATTTCCTATCAGTATTTTTCATAGTAGCAAAGCACATTGATTTACTATTTGGGGGGGGGGATATCTTGCATATTTTCTATTGTTTTTTTATATGTAGTGGTCAGTTCCACATTGATGTCCCATAATTCTTGGCAGAGACTTTGTTTCTTTGTTCCATTTTATATAAGAAATCAAAAGATGTGAGCATTAGAAATCTGCCAATTTCTGAAGTATGGATTCTTCAAATTTTGTTGTCTAGAGATATATTACTTTATTGATTTTTAAATTTAGTTTCTTGAGGATTTTCTTCTCTGGATTTGGATCACATTCACATTCCTGCCAATGCCTCTGAGATCTACCATCCATTTACTACTTAATCAATACACACACACACACACACATACACACACACACACGTACACGTACACACACACACACACACACATTTTCTTTTAACCTATCAAGTCTGATTTCTGCTATCCATATATTTTTGAACATGTAGCATTTTAGAGTGTTATTGTAAAATACCATACTCAGTCTCTAATTCAATATGTAAAATATATAGCATTGTCTTTTTTCAGATTCTTAGAATAATGATTTTTTTTTGCTTCATATCATTATATATGAAGTCTTCTCGAGTATTCTGGGGAAATCAAGGTACTTTATAATACTGGACTTATATCTGATAGTTTGTATTCATTATGAGAGACTTAGGTATAGTTACTTTTCCAATTAATGTGATGACATAATGAAGTCCTTGTTTCAGGGTCTAGAATAGGTAGATGTTATTTTCATTTCTCCTCTGTAATGGTCACACTCAACACTTTTATGATTAGACCTTATGACTCATATATGTGATGCTTGCTTATGGTTTTATGGACATTTCTGGGTTAAAAATGGTATGAACATTTATTTAAGAATTCTATGTACCCCAAAGTATGGGTCTGCATGTACCTGAAGAGACACTTACTGGCAAGTAATGCTCATGCTTGAACACAGATGCTAAACATGTTCTTATTAAAAAAAAAAAAAAGCAGAAGAAAGATGTTTGTAACCACCTAAAATTAGATAGCATACTTAATGAATGCTGCACTGAATTCTCTAATGTTACCATTATTTTCAACAAAGTTCAAATGTATGATAAATGTAATTAGTTGAAGTTTAAAAAAGTAATAAAGTCAAGAAAATAGGATTTACACCTGATTATTTTTAAATTATACGAATACATGTAAGATGATAAAATATTTATATTTAACTATACATACTTATTTTGCATATCTTTCTTAAATACATGTTTTCTTTTTAAAATTTTTAAATTACCTGTTGCTATTCCAACAGAACCAATTCCTGTCTTGCAAAATAAAGCCAACATGTAAACACAACACTCATTATAAGTGATTGCACTCCAAACCTTATGAAAGGATTTTCCTTTCAGAAGAAAATCACATGAAAGAAGCAGGTATCACACACAAAAGATCATCTAACACATCTCTGTCTCATTTTTGATCTGTGTAATACCTCCAGAAAAAAAAAATTGCTGATTGAAATAGCAGGTCAGGAAGATTGGCTGAGAAATTAACAGTTTCCAAGAGTGTGCATGAGCAGCAGCTTAGGAGGTCTTGTAATCAGTGTTTCTTTCTCTCTAGAATGTGAAATAGTCTGATACTCTCGGCTAATAATTATTTAGCTGCCTATAAGCTCCCACCTCCTGTTGTTCACAATAAGAAGATGCACCTCAGAAGATGACGTTTAAATACGTTTCTAAAAATGCTTGAAGTCTGTTGTCTTGTTTCCAGAGAGTAACATTTAGGAGATTTGGGGAAAGTAATAGAAGAGGATATCTGAAATTGTGTCCCCATGCCCGGAAGAGAAAACCTGGCTTTAAGATCACAGTGTTGGGAGGAGTTGGACAGAGAAAATGATGTAGTGTACTTGATCGTTTCTCATTTTATGCCTGTATGAAATTCTCAGGCAAAGAAAATTCCTTGGTAAGAACAGGGAGGAAGAGGCACTGGAGAAGGTGGGGTGTAACAGTGCAAGACTGAGGAGGTAGCTGGACTGAGAAAGACACAATTCGCAGAAATGCATGGTACAGCTAACTTCTCTGCTTCTAAGAAGCAAGTGTAGTTCTAGCTTGGATCCTGCAGGCATTCAGTGGCTGAAAGGCTTGTTAAATTAGGTGAGATGTGAGACAGTGACAGCCCCGTGACCATCAACTCTTGGAAACATACAAATAATAGGAGAGTTGACTTGTGGGACACCACTGCTAAAAAGCCACAATCAGGTGGAGGCCTCTGGAAACGGACGTGGACTACAGAATTGCTATTAGCTTCCACTTCTTAAATTTATTGTTAGGAGTTGAGTATTTAGGCTGGGAAGGAAGTTAAGGCTGGCTCAAATGTTGTTTCACAAATGTGGATATGGTAGTGGGGTGGGCAATGGAAACTCACAGAGGAAAAAGACAGTGTCTTTATTATGAAGGCTTGTAGCTGAGGTTTTCTTCAGTCCTGTCCAGCCCTGCAGACTACGCAGCCAATTATTCTTTTCATTAATTTTTCTTCATTAAGAAAGTTTCTACTCACTCCACATATTATGCACAGATCCTCCCTCCTCATTCCTCCCACTCCCCCCAGCCCTCTTTCCCAAGCCACCCAGCATCCCCACATCCCCCAAATCAAGGTCTCCCATGGGGAGTCAGCAAAGCCCAGCAAACTAAGCCTAGGCAGTTCCAAGCCCTTCCCCATTGCCCCAAGGCTGTGCAAGGTGACACTTTAGGCACTTGATTCCCAGAAGCCTGCCCATAGACAAGAGACAGAATCCAATCTCCCTGCCTGGGTGCCCCCCAAACAGTTTGAGCCAAACAACAGTCTTCTGTATCCAGAGGGCCTAGTTCAGTCCCATGGGGACTCCAGAGCCAACAGTCCACAGTTCATGGGCTCCCACTAGTGTGGCCAGTCATCTCTGCATGTCCTCCCATCATGATCTCAATGTCCCTTGCCTGCAGAATCTCTTCTCTCTCTCATCAATTGGATTCCTGGAGCTCAGCCAGATGCCTGGCATGGATCTCTGCATCTGCCTCCATCAGTCACTGGACAAAGGCTCTATGATGACAGCTAGGTTATTTGCTAGGCCAGTCACCAGAGTAAACTGGTCCAGGCCCCCTCTGGACCACTGCCAGTGAACCAAGTTGGGGTCAACCTTCCCACAGCCACTGATAAAATAATCATTCAGAAGGTTATATTAATTAAGACTGCTTGGCCATTAGCTCAGGCCAGCCACTGACTAGCTCTTACACTTAAACTCAGCTCATTTCTGTTAATCTATATGTCACCACATGTTCCGTGGCTTTACCTGTGTGCCTTTACATGCTGCACCATGGATGGTGGGCTGGCGTCTTCTGACTCAGCCTTCCAGCCTTCCCATAATTCTCCTTGAGTGTTTATCCCACCTATGCTTTTTGCCTGGCTACTGGCCAATCAGCGTTTTATTTATCAACCAATCAGAGCAACATATTCACAGAATGCAGAGCCATATCCATAGCAAAAGATTTTCTCCATGTTAGATACTGGGGTTTCATCAAGGCTAACTCAGAATCAGACAGCTGCTGTATATGATGAGATTGCTAATGTGTGCACTACCTTGTACAGGACAAAGGCAGGTGGAATGTTTAGTTAATGAACATTTAGTTTTAGCTGAGGAAAGGCAGGTAGATGTGAACACTCTAGTCTGAACAGATATAAGGGTGACTAACAGCAATGACATCATATTGTTATGTCATTAATATTAAACATAAATAAAGTTTTATAATGGTTGGGAAATATAGATAATCAAGTTCTGCTTTCTCAATTTGTTTCTTGCTCAAATGTGCAAAGTCAAAAATCTGCATCATTGTGGGCAAGTAATTGTTTTTGTATAAATATAAATATATACAATATGTAATCAATAGTCGTTGTTTAGGCACGTTTCAAAAATTATACATATGCTTTATCACAATTGCTAATTTAGGCAAATAGGATTTGAGAAAATTGAGACAAAATCGGATAAAGCAAGTCATAGGCATCGTTTCTCTAGTTTCTGTGCAGTTTGAAATGTATTATTGTCAATCACTCAACTGTGTAGTGTTCCCTCCAGGAAGAGGGGAGAGGATTCTTGTAAGACTCAAGAAGTAAACATATTTCATTTCTGGGAGAGTTGAAATTTCCAGACTCAGAAGAGCTCTTCTCCTCCAGACTCTGGAAACAAACTCCTGAGGGAGAAGTTTACCAGTCAAGTTGCAGAGAGGAGGATGTTGGATTCACTAAGCTGCCTCCAAGTGGTACATACAGCTCCAGGTTCCAGCTTGTGTTACACATCGTCCATGTTGATGCAGACTTTTCAGTGATGAAGACATTTTTGATTCATACCTGACCCAGGAAGTAACCAATTATTATTTTTTCTGTGAGATATCTCTATAAATTCATTATTCAACAAATTGGGTTTAATGATATGGTTATTTTTTTCTGGGATAAGCAAATGTGTGCAATGTCTCTCTAGGAAAGGTCTCATATAATTCTCTTCCACAATGTAGTACCACATTTTCCTTTCCAACCAAACAAAGATCATAGAGAACTTTTATAATTTTCTTCCTTAGATGGTTGTTTCCTAAGATTTTAGTTAGTGTATGTGTGAGCATGTAATGATTCATAGAGGCAAATGTGTATGTGTCATAGCTTAAGAAACCAATGTAAGAATTCCTTCCAATTGTTTCAATGAAGAAGAATTTAATGAAGTAGTTTGGACTGGTAATTCTGGATGAAAGGCAGAATATTAACAGTCCAAACAGAATCCTCTGTTTTGAACTTACACCCATGAAACTTTAGTCACATTAAAAAGTGAATAATTAGCTACAAATATCCACACACAGTAAGATCTGTGTGTAGTCACTAAAAGTGCAAGAAAAAGTTAGAACCTCATGAAAGCATAATTTATATATGTTTCAAATTGAATTAAGAACCTCATCTGTGAGGATCTTTACCATAAGACCATCACTTTATCTTCTAGCCACAATGGTAAAAGAAAGTGATATAAGAGTTGGAAATATATGACAGCTTCCAAAAAAGACAGCACCATGCAGAGAAGTGTTCTTAGAACAAGCACCAGTTGTGACAAGTTCATGCCTGACTAAGACAAAGGACAATGTGGCACCTGCTCCCCAATTGGTGATGAGTTCATCGAGTTTATTTTTAATTGTTTCAATAGTATTGCTAGGGTACCAATTTTAACAACAAATGGATTACTTATCAAGCTTTACTTAATAAATATATGTAAATTCTGAAATAGTCTATAACAATACACTAAGGAAATGGTCACGAATTAAAAGGCTAAGAGCTATGTTTTATTTATATTATGTATGTGTGTGTATCACATATGTACACTATTTTTCTGTTCATAAACATCACCTTGTTTATTTGTTTCTTCTTACTCATCAACAACTGCTCAAATATTTGCAAAAAATAGCTCTCTTAAGGCAGGGGCCTCTGCTTTTCCAGTATTTTGCTTTGCTCTTCAGCCCTTAGAATTTGCCTTATTTCACATGCTAGCCAATGATATTTAAAATGGTGTCAGTCCCAGGGATGCCTGCTGACTGGTGTCCTTAATATACGGCTGCCAGTAAGTTCCTTCAGCTTCACAGCTCTTACCATGGTTGGTGTATCTTTTGTTGTTGTTGCTTGTTGTTTAAACTTCTATTTTTCTCGTTTAAGTTTATTACTGTTCAGTGAAAGGCTGTTCTCCATGTGTGCTGAGGAAATTTTTTTTCCTTAATCATTTTTATCTCTTTTCATGATGTTGATTTTTTTTTTAAAAGTCAGTTTTTATGGCTCAATCATTCAAAGTCACAATAAAATGCCATCTCCACACAAACTATAAGTCTTTGGGAGCCTTAACTTCAGTTGAGGTCACATGTTGCATCATCTCCTCTACTATGCATGCACCACTCTTCCTTTCCTAAACTATGCTCATTTGTGTCCAGAAGGTTTCTCTAGTCCTGCCTGGCCCCCTGGTCCTGCAGCAGCTTTAAAATAATCATTCAGAGGCTTAATATTATCTACAAACTGTATGGCCTATGGCAGGCTTTTTGCTAGCTAGCTCTTTCATCTTAAATTAACCTATTTCTATTAATCTATGTTTTGCCATAAGGCTGTGGCATTACCTGTCTTCTGAGATCTTATTTCTCCTTTGGCTGCAGCTGGCACATCCCCTTCCTCTCCTTTCTTCTCTCCATGTATCTGCTTGGATTTCCTGCCTGCCTCTAAGCTGCCTTGCCATAGGCCAATGCAGCTTTGTTTACTAACCAATCAGAGCAACACATATTCATAGAATATAGAAAACATCCTACAGCACCACATTATCTTAAAAGCCTTTTTTTGTTGCTTACTATTTGTTATATATTATTATTATATATTATAATTATTATTATAATTCAAAATCTAAACTATATCCACTCATTGCATTAGCCATAACTCTCTAAATACCTTGCACCTAGGACATACTACAATGTCATAAAAGCTGACCAAAGATGAAAGCAAACTAGTAAAATAGTAATAGTTGGGGTCCAAGTGTAACACGAATCTTAATTTGTCTTATAATAAAAAAACCAGAGTCAGATATTGGGGTAAAAACTGAAAGATCAGAGAAGCAGAACAGCCAGCCACTAACTTACCTCTATGAAATCCTCAGCCTCAAGAGAGAGAAAGTTCATGTTTCTTCACACCTTATATACCTTTCTGTGTCCTGCCATAATATTTCCTGGGATGAAAGGTGTGTGTCACCACTTCCTGGCTCCATTTCTCTTATGTTTCCCAGTGTGGCCTTGAATTCACAGAGATCCAGATGGATAGCTGTCTCCTGAGTGATAGGATTAAAGGTATGTGCCTGACCTCTATGTCTAATTTAGTGACTGGCTCTGTCCTCTGATCCCCAGGTAAGCTTTATTGGGGTACATGATATATCACCACACTCATTCTCTTAAGTTGATTTCCACTCAAAAGGCAGTTTTAGGTAACTTACTAACTATGTATAGTATCCAGCAGTGTGGTCATACTTTGTGCTCTACTGGTGTAAGTTAGAACCCTCTTTTCTATAATCCCTTTTTCTGTACAGTAATAGATTTTATTTGGCAAACAGGGATGGAGCCCTAGTGATTACTTTCTGAGGAGTGTAATATCAGAAGCATTCCTCAATCACAGCTCTCCTTCCAGCTCTTGAGCTCCTTGACAGCAGGACGGTTGTCAAAGGGTTTACCATGGACTTATAGAAACGAGAATCAGAGTCAGTCACTTTCTAAGGGTCATTCTATCTATGTGTTACTCCTCTGTAAATTGGCCTGGGCATGCTTCTTTTTTCAAGTTGAAAACACTGTATCATTTTGTCCTTCTAATTCCCATTCCAATCTTTGCTGTCTCAGCTTACCCCATAAGTTTAAAAAGCTTGCCTGATAAATCTGTTGTCAAGAGAAAACATTTAACTCCCCTTCACTGATTGAATTCTGACTGAAAAAAAAAAGTTTTAAAGGCTTACCACAACTCCCTTAAGCATGTACCTAAACTGTGCTATGCTAAGTAGTATATCCACGTCTAAAACCTCAGTGTAAGGGATTCCGCATTTCCACTGTGCCAAAAGCTATCTTGTAAAAGATCAGTTGCTTAGAATCACTCATTGACCTATTTTGTATTTCAGTTCAAACTGTTTAAAAAAGCACTCCATCCTGATACTGTGGATGGAAATGGAAAAGAATTGTGTAATAGGAAGAGTCACTATGGAAACACTAAATCATATCTCCTGTGGTTTTCTCTCTCTCTCTCTCTCTCTCTCTCTCTCTCTCTCTCTCTCTCTCTCTCTCTCTCTGCCTCCGTCCCTTTCTATCTTCCTCCTTTTCTTCACTCCTTCCCTTTGACCCCTTTCCTAAATTTATCCTCCTTTTTGAATAATAACAGCCCCCTTAGGCTCCTACATTTGAATGATTAGTCACCAGGGAGTGGAACTGTTTAAAAGAATCAGAAGAATTAAGAGGTGTGGCATTGTTGGAGTAGGTGTGGCATTGTTGGAGGAAGTGGTAGGCTTTGAGGTTTCAGAGACCCATGCCAGGCCCATCTTCACTCTCTATGCTTGTTGATCACCTTGTCTCTCTCTCAGCTACTTCTCCAGCATCACACCCCCCTGCTTACCATGCTTCCTGCCATGATGATAATAGCCTAAGCCTTTGAAACAATAAGCATTGTTTCATAATTAAATATTTTCTTTTATAAGAGTTGCCCTGACCAAGGTGTATCTTTACAGCAATAGAACAACAACTAATATATTTCCAAAACTTTCAGAAAAAAAGAGAGGGAGAGATAATTATAAGTAAAAGTATCTGGTTAAATAGGTACACATTAAACTCTTACTAAAGGATTTTTAATTTCTTCATATGTAACTTGGCCTGTCATTGCTGTTTATATGGCCTAGAATGTTTTGTTCATAAAAGCATGTGGCTCTTTCAAATCTTACTGCCTGAAATTTTACTAAACAAATACTGTCAATGACAGAGCAAAAGACAAGGACCTGCATGCCTATGTTCATTGTGTCCTAACAATGTATGTGTTACACCCACCAATCTAAACTAACAGTGGATGAATCCTCTGGATTCATTGGATTGAGACATTATGTATTTCCCAAGTCAGCGGGGGTAAAAGAAATACAAGTGTGTTTTGTTTTTCAAAAATTGAGTGAGTGATATCTAATTTGCAAGAAAGTACACAACCAACCTTACCAGTCAGGCTCTATACCAACCACTGTAAAATGAAATTCCTAATGGTTGTTTATACTCACTCATTGCAGCAACATAAATCTGTCATGACTCCTATGCAGGAGCAGAGCCACTAACAGGGGTTAAAGAAGGTATGTTCTTGCCGTCTATCTTTGCCACCTTCTGTAAAGCGTGTCTTAGAAGAATCTAGATCAGAGTCAAATAGGCAGATACAAGAGTTATCATTTTTGTCCAGTCTCTAATATAATATACAATACTGTATATTATACAAAGGCCAAGATGTACACAGGCAGTGCATTATATCTTTTGGCCGAAATTCTTGCCTTTCTAAATATTAAAATATTAATACTATCAAACCAAATCTCATTCTTCATTTGGTAGTGAAGACAATGTAAAACAGGAGAGAGAATACAGTACCAAAGATGAAAACATCTTTGTTTGACTTAAGAATGGCAATAGAGATGGTTACCAAACTCTACAATCAAAATCAGTTTTTCTTCACTTCTAAGCTAATGTTCTAGGCTGCAATTAAACAGTTAATATTTATTTTAATATATTTAAAAATGTGTTAAGATTTTTAGAGCCAACATCATGAGTCAACGTTGCTTATTTGTAGATCTTATATTGATTTGCTTATATGAAAGAATCTGTGAATTCAATGGCTCAAAGTCCAACAGAAAATAATCAACGTTTGGGCATTCAGTCTAGGTTTAGCTTCATGTTTATATATTTGATCTAAAGAGAAATTCTTTCCGAAATTATCTAAAGACCAAGGAATTCTTTCTTTTTTGTTGTTGTTTTTCTTTTTCTTTTTTTTTTTGGTCTTCCTTTCCTTTATTAAGAATTGTTTTATTCATTTTGCATATCAACCATGGATCCCCCTCTCATCCCTTCATCCACTCCCCCAGACTTCCTACCCAACCCATCCCCCATCTCCTCTTCTGAAAAGGTAAGGCATGCCATGGAGAGATAGCAAAGCCTGGTAAATATAGTCAGACTACAGCCCACAGCTCCAGAGAAGCTAGCTAACAAGCAGAACCCTAAGAGGAACACATCAGTCACCCCGAGAATGGGAAATAGATGAGATCTCTTGAGTAAACTGGGGCCAAAGTGGGCAATTTAGAGGACAAGTGATGGGGGATGAGAACATAAGGAAATGGGATGGTCAAGCTAGAACAGGGAGAGTGGGAGTGCAATGAAAGATAAGTTTTGATAGAGGGAGACATCATGGGGATAGGGAGAAACAGGGTGCTAGGGAAGTTCCCAGGAATCCACAATGATGAACCCAGCTTTAGACTACTAACAATAGTGGAGAAGGTACCTGAGCTAGTCTACCCTGGTAATCAGATTAATGAATACCCTAACCGTCATCATAGAGCCTTCATTTAGCAAGTGATGGAAGCAAATGCAGAGATCCACATCCATGGAATTATTTCAAACTTAACATAGTTTCTATTCTTGCCCAGAGATAGAGTGAGCCCTTAATGGTTAACCTGGAGCCTGAGTCCACATCTGCTGTAGGTGGGAGGATCAAAATTTACCTAATGTCAGTTGTTGTAAAGAATCTAAGCTCAGATATCTCAATAATACAGGACTAGACACAACAGAATGTAACTGCAATAAAAAGAATTGTCATTTTTTTTTGTAAAGTTCAAGTTAAAATGTGCTATTAATCCTGAACACTGTTATGCCCAGAGTAGGTAAAGGAGAAATCTGTCAATGAGATGGCCCACAGGGAAGGGTGTAACCAGAAGGTTCTTTCCTGCCTTCCAGTTCCTGAAAAACCTAGTTATAAATGTTTGGCTGATGGCTCAGGCTTATTACTAGCTAGCTCTTACATTTATTTAACCCATTTCTATTAATCTATGTGTTGCCATGTGGCCTGTGGCTTACTGGTCCTCTGACATCTTGTTCTTTGGGTGGCTGGACTGGGTCTGCCCCTAATCCACCCTTCTTCATCTCCCTTCAAAGTACTGTCTAACCTTATTCTGCTTTGCAATTGGCCAAACAGCTTTATTTGTCAACCAATGAGAGCAATGCATACTCACAGCATATAGAAAGACCATCCCACAGCAGAAGGGAGATTGCAGAATGAAAATTAATGCTACAGTATAAATTATAACAAAGGTATTAAATGAATTTGTATATACAGACTAAGGTTTTAGAATAGAAAAAATGGATTACATTGCTCATTGCTGAAGCAATTCCAAAACAATGGATTTCTCTAATTTCAAATTTTTACAGGTTTTAGGATAAAAACTGATTTCCAAATTCTCTTCAAATTTTGTAAAGGTTACTCAATCTCATTTATTATATTGTATCCTAAGGATTGTAAACATTTTAGCTGTCCATCACTAATTATAATCTCTGTCTATGCAATAATGATCTTATTTCCATATAAATTAAAAAAATATTGCCAGATACAAAGTTGAAATTGAATTGTGTCATTCACTATGTCTCTCAAAGCAACACGGAAGGAAAATACTCTCAGGGGTTTTGTTTTTCTCAAAATTTCAGTAAATAAAAGATGACATTGATTGGCATTTAAAACTTCCATCTGAAGTTGGAGTAAGTTGGAGTGTTTAGTACCCAGTTCACTTTGCACTTCTGTTGTGAAAGAAAATAACTTCCTGACTTGGCTTGCAGAGGAAATGGACTCATTATCATGTGGGTCATTAATTTTTCAGTAAGGATTTGGAGGAAGTCTTGCACTTATCTCGAGTCTATACTTGTGCAGTAAAAGTAATTTTGGAACTTTAGTCTTCCACTGTTGTCTGCGAGGATAAAGGTAGCTACAGAGTGATTTACTGTCTGCTGACTATAGATTCTGAATCTTTGTACTGTGCTAAAAGAATGCTAAGAAAAATAGGTCTTTCCTACCCTTTCTTCCTTATATTTCTTCTCTCCACTTTGCCTTGGCAGAGATTTCTCTGCAAGTATCAATCGGAATCAGGTGTATAAACTGTAGTGGTGTGCTGTTGTCTGTGAGTGTGATCAACCTGTGCACACCTCCCCTTCTACACAGCAAAACAAGCATGACTCACAGATGTCTGAGAATGCATGGATCTGGAAGCTTAAGTTTTCAGAAGTTATATGAGGTTTTTGATGGATATCACCATCATTATTTTTGGGATACTGAAAACCAGACAGCATATATTTTAAACTGCAAGAATGAATGAGATTAAAAAGTAAAAATAGCAAAAGTTATTTTTGAGATACCTCAAATTGCCATAAAACTATCTCCAACAATGAAGTCAATGATATTTTTAAAGTCAAATTAAATATTATAATAAGTCATACTTTGCCTTAGAATATGTATTTTGACTACAACAAGATTCTTTTCTTTGTTAAGCTAATACAATGTGAAAACAATGCCAAAAGAAAGTGCAGACACACCAAGACATCTCTGTTTTTAGCATTCTTCATCAGTTCATCATTGCTCTCCTGGGTTTTCATTTTATTTCCTTCTTTTCTTTTCTCCATCAAACTCACTCTTTTTGTACTTTTGATGCTTCTTAAGCTAATAAATCAAGGTGAGTATAAAACATGAGAGAGTGGGTTGGGCAGGTTGGGGGCCAGATGGAAGGTGAAAATAATGAAAGAGATACCTTAGTGTTAGAAGGAGCCATTTGGGGTTTAAGGAGAAACCTGCTCCGAGGGAAATTCCCAGGGATCCACGAAGACGACCCCAGCTAAGACTCTTGGCAGTAGTGGAGAGGATATCTGAACTGGCTTTCTCCTGTAATCAGATTGGTGACTACCCTACTTGTCATCAGAGAGCATTTATCTAGTAACAGATGGAAGCAGATGCAGAGATCCACAGCCAAGCACTGGGCCAAGCTCCCGGAGTCCTGTTGATGAGAGAAAGGACCATACAAACCAGGGCGAGTCAAAGTCATGAGAAGGGAGCCCACAAAGACAGCTCACAAAGACAGCTGACCTGAGCTCCTGGGAGTTTACTGACTCCAGACCAATAGCTAGGGAGCTTGCATGGGGCCAACCCAGGCCCTCTGCCTGTGTGTGACAGTTGTGTAGGTTGGTCTGTTTGTGGAGCTCCTAGCAGTGGGGATCAGGACCGGTCCCTGGCTTGAGATGGCTTTTGGGAACCCAATCCCCATGCTTGGTTGCCGTGTCCAGTCCAATATTGATGCAGGGGGAGGAGCTTGGTCCTGCTTCAGCTTGATGTGCCATACTTTTTTGACTCCCATGGGAGGCCAGCCCTTTTCTAAAAGGAGGAGTAGGTGGGATGTGGGGCAGGGAGAGGGAATGGGAGAAGAGGGTGGTCAGTATATAAAATAAATTAAAAAAATAATAATAAGGAAAATCTATAGGGACAACATCAAGAGAAATGAAAAGGAATGTAATGAATGTAACCACATAATGAGCACATTCCCAGCTCTCAGGAAGCTGAGTCATAAAGATACTACAAACCAAGTCAAACTGTTCTTTGAAAGAAGATGCCCAGGGCCTGCCATATTCAGGAGCATTCTTTCAGGAGTCCAGTTGCCAGTGCTGGCTTTGCCCCTCTTTGATCCTTACCATTTATCCTAACTCTCCCGTGCTTTCTGCTTCCTACCAGGTTTCTACCTCTCTTGTCTTTGGTGCACTAGTTACACATTGTCCCACAGTCTAGCATTGTTCTGCGGGCCATGTTTCAGCATATAGACCTGAAGCAGAATAAGGTAGAAAATACCAATTACTAGATACTGAATCATTGAGTTATTTACTTAAAATACTGCCCGTACTGCCTATTTGCCAAGCACGACTTCGATTACTACCCGGAACACTGACCTGGAGGAATAGCCGAAACAATGGATTGTTGCCCTAAACAAGCTGCTGGCCGCCACCATTGCTTTTGTACAATTTTGCTTGTTTTTCCTCCCTACCTTTTAGCTTTAAGAGAACAAAAGGAAAATATAAACCAAAGGAGCGAAGCCTTTCAATAGCTATCCTGGCTTCAGTGTCCTGGAAACATCTTCTGCCTTCACTTTCACTGGTGTTGAAGTGCTTATTCCAGAGTCCCACCGCAGTCCCATGATTGAGATGCGTTTTGAGTTTCCCAACAGTGCTGTTCAGAGAGGGACTTAGGCAGCCTGCCACCCTTATGACACAGGTCTTTGTGACATGGCATCCTATAGAAAAAAGGGAGGGTTTTGTTTGGTTGTTTGCTTACTTTGGTGTGTTTGTTTGTGGCATCTCTTGCTGATGCCAGTGCTGCACTGGATGCTGCTCTTTCCCCCTTATTTCAGTTGATTGAGAGTCCTGTATCTCTGTCCACATTTCCCTCCTTTCCAGTCTCTTGTGTTGGGTTTAAATGACAGGGGGAAGTTTACAATTTCATCTTATGTAGACGTATTTCCTGTCCCCTTTCTCTGTCAGCTGTATCATGCGAATTACATCTCTGTCTCCTGTAAGTGACCAATGCTTTAGATTAATTATTTCATGAAATTGTGTTTTTAGTCATAAAAGGAAAAGCATAACAAATATACATCTCACATTTTCTGTTTGTGATTGGATTATCTTTAATAAGGTTTATCAGTTCATTACATAAGCAGAAGTTCATTTCAAGTACACTGTGATTTCATTTTAAAACACTCCCCCCATTTTATTTCTTAGAGAAAGTCCTAGCAAACACTCCTTCGCGTAATAAATCACTTGAATATCCCTCTTGATTTTAGTTTCACCACTAGTCTGGAAATTTTCTCTAGTAGACAATATATAGACTACTTGGGTGATAATGTGCCTTAAAGACCATGGCACTTTTAAAAGGATAAAATGACAGCTATGGACTTTATGAAAACAGAAGTAAAAATTTAATATTTGCAGAACTGTGCCAAGAAAATCCCAATTAGCCATTTAATTTAACAGGCTGAAGATGTGTGTGGCATAAGGAAGTTCCCACTCGAAGGCTGACAGAGAGGCTGATGTCTATAAAAGAAGTATATTTCAATCTTTGCATGCTGGGATTTGTGAGTCATGGGTAGGATATATATTATTCACAGTATGTTTGAAAATTGAACCTACCATGGAACTTTTATTTGGAGGAGGCTTCACTTGACGTGAAAACTTTAGCAGCTCTCATTCACTGAGCTCAGATAAGAGTACTCATTGCTATAGCAGGTAGAATGGACAAGCCAAACACCAACTCTAAATTTATTCAGCAGAGTTTCATGGTTAAATTGAGCAGTAGTTGGTCAAAATATTATGGCATATGCCAATGAATACCTGTGACCTTTGCCGTGCATGTCACTATGTTGAGCTTTAAAATGCTTGAGGCAGTTTCACTGATAGCAGGCAGAAGTCAAAAAAGGTTAGTATTTTAAATAATATTAAGTTTTACCTAAAATACTGAATACCATAATACAAAAATAAGACAAAAACTAAATTATATAATGGCTGGGACTATTTCATGGGTATGTATGTAATACAAACACCTGCAAAAGTCCAGATGGTTAACTGCTTTTCAATTAGGAAATGGGAGCAGGAAGGGAGCTAAAATTTTATTTTATTTCTTTGACATACTTTATACAAGAGTCTCACTTAATAGGAGTAACACCTGTGTCAGAAAGGTAGCATGAATTTTAATTCCAGGAGACTAATAACTCTTTATATAAATTCAATAATTTTTATAAGTGTAAATTGATCAATACAATTGGCTTTCAAGTGAGTGTTTGCACAGTAGATAGCACTAATGTGATTTCTGTCAAACCAGGTTAAAATGGAGAAGTAACCCAAAATCGCATGTGAATTCATAACTACACTTTATAGTGTTAACTTCTTGAACATAATACTTAGTCAATAATAGCAATTACTTTAAAATTCATATCTGGTATTATAGAGAAGCAATACATGGACCAGAATCTTAATATTTAATCAGTTTCAGGTGAGGTAGAATCATCCTGTACAAATACATGGATTGAGAAACTTCTGAAAAAAAAAAACCACTGTGTGTTAAATGTGACAAGCCCCAGCTGCTTCGCTCACATCTCTATGTGCTCATTTCATCTTAAGATGCTGACCATTGTGTTGCCAGTCAGTTGCCTTTGCCATAGCTGAAAGCTGCATGAAGCTGATATGATTTTTATAGTGTTCATGTTAGCATGGTTCAACGTAGCATATCACATGTGAAAGAGAGAAAACTGCCCCTGTGTGTTTCTGCTCTCAGCTGCATCCATTCCTGTATGACTATTATCTTTAAAAAAATTACTCAGTATTTTATACTGAAGTAATAATCTATACATTTGGAGCAATATGCCTTTTTAATATGCACATATGCATATAGAATATACATACTATTTGTATTAGAATGTTAATATTTAACCTGATCTTTATAACTGTGACCTTTAAAGAGAACCCAATTTTATTTTTTTCTCCCCACCACATAAAAAATATCTTAGCTCATTTTGATGGAATGGAATCATAACATCAAATCAAAGTTTTAGTACCCTAGGTGAAACATGTGAGAATTTAACATTTCACATGCCCAATAGAATTATGATGTTTACTTCTTTGAAAAGGAGATGATTTCAATGTTCATTTGCTACACTTTTGTGTGTCCTTTGCTAATTTATCTCTGGTTGTCTTGCTTCTGCATTATTAAGACAAGCTAGAAGGTTATGTTCAAAGTAGAGGTACAGTAAATCCTTACAAGATTTAAGATATCTCTAAATTAAGAAATTTTAATTTTATGATATATGCATTTGGTGTGTTATTCTCCCCTAATTTTCTCATGTTTTATTATGGAGATATTTTAAAATAAAGGAACAAGTTGACCGTTGATTAACAAGTAATTATTCCATTGGTCTGGATGAAGTAACACCTAGCAACAATTTATATTTTGGTACCTTGATTTCATTTCATTGTGTAAATACAGTATGCGTAGTTTATTACTATACTACTTAAAAGTCACCCAAGCATCTTTATAGTTTAACACGATTTTCATCATGAAATTCTTATAATTTTGGAATGTAGCATTCTCCTCCTCACTCTATCTGATATCCACAAAGGCCAGCTAGTCCAAAATTATATCATTTCTAGGAACTGGATTCTATCAGCTGTTACTGAAAGTCTTCACATATTTATTACAGTTGAAAATATTATGAATGTAGAATGTTCAACTCAAGACAGAAAATAAGTATTAATCACTTGGGAATAAAAGACTAAATAAGCTTGTAAATTTTTGTATTAATAAATGTATGACAATTTTCTTTTATGTTTTACATTTCATATTCTGCCCAGGAGTATTATACTATAAGGACACACAAAGGAAAGAAATAATTATTTGCAATGAGATTTCTTTCTAACTAACATAATTGGATACAGCTTTCTTACTAGAATGGTTATTGATGCTTATAAACTAAAGATATTCAGGGAAAACACTTAAATTAGCACTTCATAAAATAATGATAAATATTCATTGACCTTGTTTGCAAATTAGGTGAAACAAATGTCAACAGCATTAAATATTTCCTAAGTACCCTATTATATTTCATTACACTTGGTAGCCATCTAATTATTGTCTTAGGTTCAAGAATATGTTCATATTTCCAAAATGTATAATTAGATAAATGAAATGTATAACTGAACTACAACATAAATCTTATTAATTCTTCATGATAAATGCAGGACAGTAGGTCTCATTTGAAAATCATACCAGGGAATTCATTGCAGAAAACATTTCTGCCTTCTGCTGTATAATTTCTAAAATCTCAGATATAAAGAAGAAAAGATCATCTTCTGGCACGATGAGAATATAAACCACCTGGAATTTCAGAACAGAAAAACAAATGTCTCTTGTACATACTGCTGCTGATATGCATGAAAGGCTTCAAATTTTGTCGTTCTGGTTTACATAAGTTAACATAGGGAATAAAGTACTCATGGCTCTTATAAGGATAAAAACCCTGGAGATTTTGGTTACGATTGGTTAACTAAAGCCAAAGGATCGTATTATTTTTTTCACTATGCTAATCTATGCTTTACAAGTTTTGGCATATTATTTAATGTGTTTTTATGTTATGTGAAAATTCTTTGCAATGCAAAATTAATGATCATGTCTTTAAAACAAACACATTATCAACTATGACATTCAAGTTGTACCCTAAAACAGAGTATAATCACAAATATTTCTGAATCTGCTGATGACACCTGTGTGGTGGGAGGCTGGATGACAAAACTCAACTGGGCTGTGTAGTTTAACATGTGTGCCTCACTGTAGTGGATGATGTGACTCCAGGTAGGTAGCCCATATGAATACCTGGGCATCAGAGCACAGCATTTAACAACCCTGGGGAATGGTTTACAACAGCCTCAGTGCAGAAATATTGAAATCCTATAAATCTAATCATGGTTGGTCTACATGTATGGCATAGATAGGTTGATCCCTCTAGAAAGCTGCATAGCCACAGACTCCTCCACACCTAGTAGGAACAGGACTTCAATGTGATGTGTGTTATTGGTGTGGCAAGCCTTAAAACATATGTCTGAAATCATTTTGTAGTTGATCTTTTGAAAAAGACAATCGATCTCAAATGTACTAATGTTTCATTCATAAATATGGTTTCAGTAGATGAGCAAAATATTTACAAACCAATTATTTGTTATTTTTTAAAAGTACAACTATTTTAACTAGAATGTTTTTTTTTTTTTTTTAAGCTGGAAGGCTATGTTACATTTGATCAAAACAACAGATCCAGGGATTCTAAATCCAAGGAATGACCTGAGGTCCTGAAATGTGATTGGGAGGGTCTGATCTTTATGTGAATAACTAACTTCTTTTAAGTACTTAGGAGAAATTGATGAGCTATTGACTAAGGTAGATTCTTAAAGCTCTTCAGTCATTGAAACACTACCTGGCTGCGGACCAAATAGAACTATGTAGAACCACCCTCCTGTCCATGCAGTTGTCTGTGAACCAGATTGGTGTATGTGTATGAGGGAACTCAATTTAAAAGGAGAAACTGTATAATTTCAAATTACATTAACTTGTCTCAAATAAATTGCTGTTTTGAAAACCACAGTGTTTGGATACGGTACTTAAATGACTTTTTCTTCC